TGTTTATTAGAGACTGCCTAGCGTCTGATACATAGTGGCTTCTAAATACATGATGAAGGAAGGAATGAATGAGTACATTCATCTATAGTGAAACTGCTCAATAGTCAGGATCCTGGGTCTACCTTCCAGTTCTTTGCAACAGCTTCCTCTACCCCCTTCTCCCCTTCTCACCTGTCTGAAGAGATCCAAATGAGGACGTCCACTTTTGGCTGGACCCAGTGGTTCACGCCTGTAATCCCAGTGCTGTGGGAGGCTGCGGCAGGAGGATTGCTTGAGGCCAGGAGTTTGAGACCAGCCTGGACAACATAGCGAGACCCTGTCTCTACAGAAAAAAAAAAAGGAGTCCATTTTGAACTTTCCTCCCCCATCACTCCCAAGCAAGAAAACAGTGTTTGGGTGAATTGACAATGTTCTTTTATGTTAGCAGTCCAAGTATTCCACAATCCAAGGATAGTCTCTGTGTATGTAGAGATCGAATGTGAACGAATATTGGAGGTAGGGACATTTTGGTGTTCTGTTTGAGAAACAGCCATTACACTCTGTGTGCTTAGAGTGGCTAAGCACGTAGACTCCACAGCCAGACTATCTGGTTTTGTCATTTGGGCTGGGTATTCTTGGGCAACCTCAGTTTTCCCATCTTTAAAGTAGGGACAAAAGCAGCACCCATCTCAGAGTATGGTTATCAAGATCAAAGGGATGCTGTACCCACAGGCCTAACACAAGTGCCACCGTCAGTAAGTGATGGCTTCCATTATGAAGAGTTTCATTTTAAAGAGCTTTGGGAAAGAAAGGCGCAAAGGAGGAAATGAAGTCAGCCATAACCTCATCCCCTAGAAATTAAACGATGTTATAAAATTTTTGATGTAAATCTCTTGTATTTTCATATGCATACCTATGTGTTTTGTTCATTTACCATCTTCATGATCATTTGCCTATGCCTATGCCTATAAATAGTTTCTTTAAAGACATTTTTATAACAACGTATGGAGTTATATGCATTGTTATTTATTTACAGTCCCTTTTTTTTTATTATTTTCATTTTTTTTTCCTTTTATGTTGCAATGAATAATCCTTTTATCTCCATGCATCTCTTGGGTGGTTTCCTTAGGATAAATTCCTAGAATGGGGGAATTGCTGAGTCAAAGGGCATGTGCGTTTTTGAGACTTTTGATACACACTGCCTGGTCTCCAGTAGGAAGGCGGAGTTCATTGCCTCTCCTCCCGCAGAGCAGGGGAGCACCCGGAGAAACAGCCATCCCTGCCTGTTGGCTGACGTCTCTGGTGATGCCGCGTGGGTTGTTCACAGAGGCAACAGTTTCTCGCTGTCTCTATTCTCTGTTTTTCTTTCCTTCCCCTTTGTTTCCCTTCTTGGTTTTCTGCCAAACAGCCTCTTGTGAAAGGACTGCCTAATTAACCCTGTGCTAATTAACAATTTAAAATTACACAGCGCGACTGTTCATGTTTAATTCTCTTGGAGCTGGAGCAACAGCAGGAACCCCCTCCCCTTCCTCATAGCCGCATCCCCCACCCCGGCTTCCCTGCCACCCTTGCATTCGACTCAGGCATAGGCTGACGCTGTCATAAGCATATGTTTTTAGTGTGAAGAGGCTCCCCTGATGAATGGGGAGCCACAGGCTAATACGCTAGAGTTTTATCATTTTAAACAATCTTTGATAAGTAACGACTGATAATATTTGTAAAGATACAGAGTGGCTTTATGGGTGGTTCCGAGGGAATGATAATTTGGGAGACAAGCAAGGGTGGGGAGTTCTTAATGAAGGCGTTGGAATTTCCCTCTCCAATGGCAAATTTAAGTGCTAAAGAGAAAGAGAATGTTAGTGCTAGCTAGATTGTTCCTATAACTTTCTTACTGGAAGGATGTGCTCTTTTAAAATCTAACTGAATTCTTAAACAAAAATGCCACATTGAGTACAATATTGAGGGTCATTGAATAGATCACTTGGACATTTTAATTAAAGGGAATTTAGGGGTTTCAAAAGAACCCCCCAAGTTCCCTTTAAAGAGAGAGGTGGGCTTCAGGAGGGGCTGAGGGTTGAGTTTGCATGCGTGCTGGCCCTAGAGCCACTGGAGGGTGGGGAAGGGGGACTGAAGAGAGGCACGCGTCCCCGCTGGCGGGGCTGCCTGGGAGAGTGCGGGGACCCACTGGGTTCCCAGGCTGCCCTCTGTAACTGAAGATCATTGATTTTACGGGAAACCATGTTTACAGACAGTGCTGATCGACCTGCCGAGTTGACTTCTGCCTCCTTAAGTAAGAACTACCTTTTTCTTATTGACTGGCTGATAAACAGAGCGAGAGAGACTGCCGGCTGGGTGGGAGAGTGGTGGGTGCCCTCAGGCCCTTGAGCTGCAGGATTGGGAGGTTGCGGAGAGTTCTTCACCTCTGTGCACTGGTCCCCGTTTGTCCATTCTCATCCCTGAACATCCCGGGGACTGGTGGGTAGTCTGAGATGGACCTTCTGTGGTTACCTGGCAATTCGGGTACTAGGCACGGAAAACTTGGCAATCTGGTGATGATGTTGTGAAGCAGAGAGTGGCTCGGGCTTTAATTAGAGTTCCCTGGTGATGGTCTGAAAATGCAGATTCCCATGGGGGGATTTTTAAAAGTCTGCATTTGTCACAAGCTCTCTGTGAGGATCATGCCAGTAGTCCACGAACTGCACTTTGCTTGCTTGGCGAGGTTGCAAACAGTTCTGCTTGTCGTGGCCAGCATGCTTGAAAAGGAAGCCCGGACCACTCCGTGTGTCCTGACGTGGGATCCTTCGTTCCCACCTGCGTCCTCGTGGTCTTCATGAGCCTTCGTCCTCTGTGAATGTGTGGGTTCTAGCGTCACCCCACGGGGTCATCTGTCTTTCAGAGGTGGTTACAACATCATTCTTTCTTGACACCTTCTGCTTTGGAGTAGAAAACAAAGTAAAAGAGTTTTTGAAAGTCCCAGCCCCTTAGCGGGATAGTTTGTGGAGGAGGAGGAGGAAGAAGAGACGGGAGCAAGAGAAGCCCACCAATTAATTGGTAAACGCTTGCAGGTTTCTCGGGCCCAGCCCAGGCTGGAGAGGAGATTGGCTTTGCTGTCGATAAACAAGTCCCTGGTGCAGCATCAAAGCTGTTCTCCTTTATCAATCGTGGCCTCCCCTTCCCGCATGTTCCTGTAACTTACCAAGCATTTATGACATTGATTTTACAATCGGGCTGTTAACCCTCCCGCCCCTTCAGGCCTGCCAACCTTTTTGGCCTGAGCTGTCAATCAGATGTCATCCAGCCAATCAGGAGCCTCCTTAAGAAGAGCCACCCTGGATTCTCACCTGTATCCCAGCTCAGCCTCGGGAGGAAGTCCCACTGTGTTTGCTGTTTGGTTTGGTTTAGCATAGTCATCTCTGTTGCAAATCAGTATGTCCTTTCCAAGGCAGTCACACGGAACTTTGTTGTCGCGAAGGCTGAGGTCGTGAGAGGTGTGTGTGTGCATGTTGTGTGTGTTTTAGACACATGACGTCACAGCCTTCCAAAAACTTACTTCTCCTGGGTCTTCTGGTAAGCCTGCCTTCCCCGTCTTTTCCCGAGGGGGAGCTGTTGGCTCATTGTGCAGTCAAGAATCAAGAAGTGAAAAAAGTCTGAGAAGATGGGGGTTGGTGGGGAGGAGGGAGATCCAAGCCCAGCCGACATCGTCATCCGCTGTGTATGAATGAGAGAAGCTGCCGAGTGTTCTCCAGGAGGAGCAGCAGGGGAAGGGTGTCTGGGGAGCCACAGCGAAAGATCAGGGCTTTGCGGGATGCTGCGCTGCCTGTAGGAGCGGGGCCGGGATGGAATAAACACCCCTGCGATGAGTACAGCGTTGCCGCAGGAGCAGAGTGGCTCGTGATCTGATGCCTCCCTCCCTGGGGACACGAGGTCTCACAGGGCAAATTCAGCTCAGTGACGCTTTGGAGTCGGAAACGGAAAAGCCCCAGGGCTGAAGGACAGCTGGTTGGGTAGCGACTAATAACTAAGAGGCAGGTGTGGAACCGGGGTGGCGGAGCCCAGCTGCCGTCTCTGCTTGCCGCTAAGATCCTTGATAGCAAAAGCCACCAAGCACGTGGTGATCAAGCTCCCTCCAGACAGGGCAACATAGACGCTGCTGAGGGGGAGTTGGCAGATCGAGAGTCTGGTCGGTTCCAGAAGCCAAGCTCATGTTTTACACTTACGTATATTTAGTCTGAAGCCGGCTAAGTCCCAGGAAGGGAGCTCGACTCGCTGGGGCAGAGGAGATGGGAATTTGGGGACCTGTTTCCTCTTCCATTTCACAGTGGTCAGAGTAACATTGGGCCTCTTACGGGGTTTCGCCCCTTGGTTTTAGTGCTTATAAAATGGGACCTGGAGAGGATGAATGCAGCCAGGGGCCTTCTTGGGTCCATTGCAGAGCGCCTGTCGGCCTACACATTTGCCCTTTGACCCTCCCGCACCTTCTCTGAACTCAAACTAGGAATATGGTCATTTCAAGCAAGAGCAGCCTTTCCGGGCTATAAGTATATCCCTGTGTGTTACCATTCTTTTCTGGGGGCACTAAGCTTTCCTCCTCCTCTTGTCCCTCCCCTGCATTCTCCTGGCCCACAGATGGCACGGGCAGCGGGGGTGACTGTGTTGCCACGTGTGTGTGTGTGTGGCGGGGTTGGAGAGATGTCCTCACGCACCTCTCCTCCGCTGTGGCTCGACGCCTGGCCCCAGCTCCACACTGTGCTGGCCGAGACTGGAAACCCGCACCTGCCTCTAGGGGTGTGAAGCACGACACTCCGATGTCAAAGAGGCCTGCTCCTGGTCCCCTCTGCCCGTGTCCCCCACTCACGCCACGGACCGGCCGTCCCGCTGCGCGTCTCTGTGTTGTGGGTGTGGACAGAAGCCTCTTAGAGTGCGCCCCGTGTGCGGGACCTTAGCCTCGGCCCTCCTAACCTCTTTCCTTTCTCTCTCTCTTTCCCCTCTCTCCCTCCTCCCCCCTTGCCTCCGCCCTTCAGGTCCGATCCTCCGTACTGGGTGCAATGAAAGCTCCACGCAGGCCTTACCATGGAAGGCTGTGACTCGCCCGTCGTCTCGGGGAAGGACAATGGGTGCGGTCTCCCTCAGCACCAGCAATGGACTGAACTCAACAGCACCCACCTCCCTGACAAAGCCAGTAGCATGGAGCAGTCCACAGGCGAGAGCCACGGGCCCCTGGACAGCCTGAGGGCCCCCTTCAATGAGCGCCTCGCGGAGAGCGCCGCGCCAGCTGGCCCGCCCGCGGAGCCCGCCAGCAAGGAGGTCAGCTGCAACGAGTGCGCGGCCTCCTTCGCCAGCCTACAGACCTACATGGAGCACCACTGCCCCGGCGCGCGCCCCCCGCCGCCCCTGCGCGAGGAGAGCGCCAGCGACACCAGTGAGGAGGGCGAGGAGGAGAGCGACGTGGAGAACCTGGCCGGGGAGATCGTCTACCAGCCGGACGGCTCCGCGTACATCGTGGAGAGCCTGAGCCAGCTGACCCAGGGCGGGGCCGCCTGTGGCAGCGGGCCTCTCCCCCAGCTCTTTCTGAACTCCCTCCCCGGTGCGGGGGCCAAACAGGGGGACCCTTCTTGTGCTGCACCCGTCTACCCGCAGATCATCAACACTTTCCACATAGCCTCATCCTTCGGGAAATGGTTTGAGGGCCCAGACCAGGCTTTCCCGAATACCTCAGCCCTGACGGGGCTCAGCCCTGTCCTGCACAGCTTCCGCGTGTTCGACGTGCGACACAAAAGCAACAAGGATTACCTGAACAGCGACGGTTCTGCCAAAAGCTCCTGCGTATCCAAAGATGTTCCCAACAATGTGGACCTGTCCAAATTCGACGGCTTCGTGCTCTACGGCAAGAGGAAGCCCATCCTGATGTGTTTCTTGTGCAAACTCTCCTTCGGGTACGTCCGTTCGTTTGTGACCCACGCGGTGCACGACCATCGAATGACCCTGAGCGAAGACGAGCGGAAGATTCTTAGCAATAAGAACATCTCCGCTATCATCCAAGGGATCGGCAAAGACAAGGAACCCCTTGTAAGTTTTCTGGAACCAAAAAACAAAAACTTTCAACACCCTTTAGTTTCCACAGCTAACCTCATAGGCCCCGGACACAGTTTTTATGGTAAATTCAGTGGCATTCGAATGGAAGGGGAGGAGGCTCTCCCAGCTGGCTCGGCCGCCGGCCCTGAGCAGCCCCAGGCTGGCATCTTGACCCCCAGCAGCCTGTTGAACCTTGGCGGGCTCACCAGCTCGGTCCTGAAGACCCCCATTACCTCAGTCCCCCTGGGGCCTCTGGCGCCCAGTCCTACCAAATCCTCAGAGGGCAGGGACTCTGGGGCAGCGGGAGGGGAGAAGCAAGAAGCAGGAGATCCAGATTGCTTCTCCGAGAAAGCAGAGCCAGCCGAGGAGGAGGCGGAGGAGGAAGAGGAGGAGGAAGAGGCGGAGGAGGAGGAGGAGGAAGAGGAGGAGGAGGAGGAAGAGGAGGAAGATGAGGGCTGCAAAGGACTCTTTTCAAGCGAGCTGGACGACGAGCTGGAGGACAGGCCCCACGGGGAGTCTGGGGCCGCGGCAGGTAGTAGCAGCAAAAAGGACCTTGCTCTCTCAAACCAAAGCATTTCTAACTCCCCCTTAATGCCTAATGTGCTCCAGACCCTGTCGAGGGGCACAGCTTCTACTAGCTCTAATTCTGCTTCTTCCTTTGTTGTCTTTGATGGTGCGAACAGGAGGAATCGTTTAAGCTTTAACAGTGAGGGCGTCAGGGCCAATGTGGCAGAGGGCGGCAGGAGGCTGGACTTCGCTGATGAAAGTGCCAATAAAGACAATGCCACAGCACCAGAACCAAATGAAAGCACAGAGGGCGACGATGGGGGCTTCGTCCCCCATCACCAACACGCTGGCTCCCTCTGTGAGCTTGGGGTTGGGGAGTGCCCCTCGGGGAGTGGCGTGGAGTGCCCCAAATGTGACACGGTCCTGGGCTCCTCGCGCTCGCTGGGTGGCCACATGACCATGATGCATTCTCGTAACTCGTGCAAGACGCTGAAGTGCCCCAAGTGCAACTGGCACTACAAGTACCAGCAGACGCTGGAGGCGCACATGAAGGAGAAGCACCCGGAGCCGGGGGGCTCCTGCGTCTACTGCAAAAGCGGGCAGCCCCACCCCCGGTTGGCACGAGGCGAGAGCTACACGTGTGGTTACAAGCCTTTCCGCTGCGAGGTGTGTAACTACTCCACAACGACCAAAGGCAACCTCAGTATTCATATGCAGTCCGACAAGCATCTCAACAACATGCAGAACCTGCAGAACGGAGGCGGGGAGCAGGTCTTTAGCCACACTGCCGGGGCGGCGGCGGCTGCAGCGGCGGCGGCGGCCGCGGCAGCCAATATCAGTAGCTCCTGCGGGGCCCCCTCGCCCACCAAACCAAAAACCAAACCCACGTGGCGGTGTGAGGTGTGCGATTATGAGACCAACGTGGCCAGGAACCTCCGCATCCACATGACCAGCGAGAAGCACATGCACAACATGATGCTGCTGCAGCAGAACATGACCCAGATCCAGCACAACCGCCACCTGGGCCTCGGCAGCCTGCCCTCGCCCGCCGAGGCCGAGCTCTACCAGTACTACCTGGCCCAGAACATGAACCTGCCCAACCTGAAGATGGACAGCGCCGCCTCGGACGCCCAGTTCATGATGAGTGGCTTCCAGCTTGACCCCACTGGGCCCGTGGCCGCCATGACACCGGCTCTAGGTGAGGATGACTGCGTGTGTGTGTGTGTTGTCGTGGCAGGGCCTTAACTGGGGAAAACGGAGACTAGATGGAGGGAGTCCTTTGGGTTCGGTTGACTTTACCTTCTCGAGTTGCTTTGTATAGACCGGAGTGTGTCATGATCGAATATTTTTTCTCAAGAATCCTTTGAGCTCTGTGGTGCACGTGGAAGAGTTGATGCATTCGGCAGAGACACGACTGTACTCGGGCTGCGTAGGGCCAGGATTAAAATTTAAATGCTTCGTCTAGTTTTTGGCTTATGCTCAACCTTCCTTTCTGTTCCCTTTCTCTTTTTCTCGATTTGAAAAATCACTGCAATCACCCAAAACTTTGGTATGCCGTTAAATATTTGTTGAAATGCATGAAAAACTGTAGTTGGGACAGTCATCTCAATAAGTGGAACAGGGATGATTATCTCAGCGGTTTAAATAAGGACAGTCATCTCAGGAATTCGAAACTGTAGTGTACCCTATTCACGTAACCAAAGGCTGATTTCTTTGCTGAGCTGGGAGCCACCCAGATAGATTTCTCTCCGAATTCTCCACGTATTTATGAGAGTCTTGATGAAAGAGATGTGTTCTTTTTCTTTCCTATTTTGGATGAGTTATCTGTGCTTAGTATAGTTGGGAATTAAATTGCCCTGGAGCACTGTAAAGGGTGGCGTGACAGATGAGAAACAAACCAATTGTAAAATTGTCCATCGAGGAAAGCTAAGTTTTAATGTCAGTTACATCTTGGTTAACCGAGCCTTTGTTGCTGTGAAAAATGACCTGTGCTTTGGAGAAGTTGGGTTGGCTGTGTCTGGACACCAAGTCTTACCAGTAGCCTTACTTCTTCTAGAATAGGATCCAGAGTGTAGGATTCGGATGGTGAAAACTGTGAGTCTTGATGCAGAAGGAATCATGCCCACTTTGGGGATAGCTCCTGTTACTAGGAAATCTACAAGTCGGTTTCATGAGGACTGGATCACTCCAGCCTCCACCTCTTGTGCCTTGGACAGGACCCTGCTGACCTCTGTTCCCTAAATCTGCTAACTAATCTCTTGGGACCAGTGGCCATGGCCTGGATTAACCAGTATCACCTTACTGACAAGGGAATAAGTTGTTCTGGGCACCACAGTGTGAGCAAGTCCTTTCTTTCTGAGAGGGTTTAGATCAGTGGTCCCCAGCCTTTTTGGCACCAGGGACCAGTTTCATAGAAGACAATTTTTCCATGGATGGGGGGTTTATGGGGGGATGATTCAAGCACATTACATTTATTGTGCACTTTATTTCTATTATTATTACATTATAACATATAATGAGATAATAATGCAAAATGTAATGCCGCCACTGATCTGACAGGAGGCGGAGCTCAGGCGGCGATGTGCGCTATGGGGGAGCAGCTATAAATACAGACGAAGCTTCGCTTGCTTCCCTGCCACTCACCTCCTGCTGTGTGTGTGGCCCGGTTCCTAACAGGCCACAGACCGATACCGGTCCAGGGGTTGGGGACCGCAGGTTTAGATGACTACCAGGGGCCAGACCTCACCAGTTTGCCAGTCCTTATTTGTGTGGCGATTTAGTGCTCATCGTTGTGGATGCGTTATATTTCAAAGCATTCAATTTATTTTTCTTGCTATGTATTCAAGTTTGAATCCTTGATACTTTAATTTTATTTTCCATTTTGAAACATTTGTCCATTGGTTCTTTATTACCAAATGACTTGAAGCTGTTCGACCCAACTGGTGGTAACAGCTGTGTAGGGACCGACAGTCTCATCTGTGCGCAGGATGGACCATGCACACCAGGGCGATGGGCTTCAGTATCTAGGACATTTTTTAAAAACCAGTAAGAATTGGGGTTTTATAGCCTGGAGACTTAAAATGTTGGGAAGCAGATCTTAGAGTAAATCAAACATAATGGAGGTGGAGTAAAGACAGAAAGTGAATGGGTTCATATTGGGTCAAAGTGTGATCTTTTTAATTACCTTGAAAACAGGTCTTGACTGGAGAAGCAGAGACACGTTTTGCATTCACACCAAGTGTCTGTGAGTCTTGGGGCATCACACACTGTCCTCAGCAGTTATAGCAGGTACAAAAGAAACAGAAGAATGAACCCCTGTATATAGACACGCAGAAAAGATCCACACTTTATTTCTTAAAGACAGTAGAGCTCTTCCTTCCAAGGACTTCATCCAGCTCAGTCAGGAAGGGCCCTTGAATTTCTAGTGTCACCACTGGTCAGCGAGGTGAACATCTGGAATAGCCTGTTCCTTGGGCTGTGAGAGCTGTGGAGATGGTGTGAGAGCCACAGATGCTTCATGCCGGAGCTCACGTGGAAGTGTCCAGAGGACTTAGAACTTAAGTTGTTTGACTTCCGTAGGAGAAGCCAACATATGCAAATGGAAAGAACCATAACTGTCAGCTCTATCTGCAGCTCTGCAGACTTCTCCCATAGGCTGTTTAGAAGACGGCTGTAGGGTGGTATTAGACTTGACTGGGTTCTGCGGGGGGAACAAGTTTTTGTGACATACACTCCTGCCTACAAAGTTATTGTTCTCACACTTCCCTTGACAGAACCTTCTCTTTAGCATTATTAAACAGGCACCAGTCCTGGGGATGTGTCCTTTCCAGAGGCTTTTAAGGGAAGGGTTGGGCCTCCTTCATCTGGTATGGTAGGATTTGCCGCAATTTGTAGACAGCATGCTGGACTTGAGACCATGTGAACATCCTCCCAAACATTCCTTCCGACTCGAAAGTTTAGCACAGCACCGAGAAAGGGATTGCTTATGGGGCACCCGCATGTTTCCCAAGTAGCCAGCTAGCCACCCGGCCCCTGCGTGAGGCTTAGTAGCTCCCTGCTCCTGCCTTTGATTCTAGAACGTGCCTTTTGATCCATGTGCCTCTCTGAGGATGTGCTTATGGGTAGACTCACGTGCCAGGGTGTAAATTCCAGGGTTAAAGTTAGGGGCATACAGGGAGGTGGGGGCTTGCTCCTTTCCAAGACGATATATCCACCATGGCTCAAGATTAAAGACCTGCTAAGTCCTTATTTACGGGGCCTCTCCTCCTAACTGCCTGTGAATTGGGTGAGGATCCTCCACTTCTTGGGAGCTGAATTAGTTCCTTTAGCCTTACGGATCTGCAAGATTCTAAGCCCTGGGTTTGTTTCTCTGAGGTATGGTCCTCGAAAGGAGTTTTCGCTGGCCGGTCATCCTAGCTCGTTTTATCACTCTTCTGCTTCTGTCCTTGATTTGCATTTCATTTTAAGAGCTTAGAATGGGAACAGGGACTGCTTTCCTCTGCTTGTTCCGAAGACTTGTAATTTTCACTCAGGCATCCAGCAAGTGACAGCTGAATTTGTCTTTAGAGCAGTATTGATGCGCTGAGGTGAGGTCTGAAGAGTAGAGGAGGTTTGATGCTCCAGGTGGTTGGCATCAGAAACAAATATATGTTTGCTCCTTGTCTTACCCTCCGGGCAGTTACTGCTTTGACTGTGAACACCAAGTACATTTTGTGGATGTTGCCCAGCCTCTGTCCCCATTCAGGGATGGAGCTTTTAGGCTTTGTTTTTTTGCTTTCTCTTTTTCTCTCTTGTCCTAAAAAGAATGTCATAGTTATGGCTCCTCTCACCAGGGGAGATGGTAAGAGAGACAACAAACAGAAAGCTTCCTAAGCCTTCTGGAATGCATGTGCAAAAGGTTTCTGTGGCTTGCTGGACTGTTCATAGCTTCAAACACAGCTGGTCTGCTTACTAGAGCCTGTACTGATCTTTTAACTTGAGATGTCTCTTGTAGCGTAAATAAGAAAATCATTTCAAAAAACAAAACAACAAAACAAAAACCTTTTCTTTGATGAGCCACTGACTTGGATTCTAATCAGTCATTTAAAAAAAATAATAATAATAACCTTAGCCCAACCACACCTAAAAGGTCAGGTTTAAATATGAATTGGGGGTGTGGGCAGACCTAATAGCTCAATTGTGCGTGTGTGTGTGTGTGTGTGTGTGTGTATGTGTATGTGTATGTGTGTGTTCAGGGGAGAGGCAGAAATAGCAGCCACTGTTCAGCTTTCTGCTTGACTGTCTGCTTCTAGGTAATGGACGGAAGGCTGCTCTTTCCAAGCCTTTCTCGGGATATAAATAAGACCTTGCTGTATTAATTTACTGCAGTGAGTGTGAGTCCGTCCTCCTTTATGCAGGGCGGTGATGGACTGAAAAGGAACAGGGTGGAGAGGGAGGGGAGATCTTTCTCAGATGCTGACCCTCGCGATCTTGGTCCATTTCCTGACCGTGTAACATTTTGGTTTTTTTTTCACCCTCATCTGGTACAGCAGACATTTGGGTGTCAGTGCAGGGGGCTGGGTACTGCGGCGGGTTGGGGAAGATTAGGCAGGACCCCTGCCCCAGAGAGGTGGCGCCCTGATGGGGACACCAGCCGTCTATTTGTGGTTGACTGTGGCTGCAAAGGGAATGTGACAGGCCCTAGAAAGTACCACATGTCACACAGTGCAGAGGCTCAGGAAAGGGAAGAGGTCGTCCTATTGGGAAGATGTGGCAGGGACTGGCGTCGTTGACCAGAGGGATGTGGCAAGAATATTCCAGAAATCTTCGCTTTGGAGCTGTGATGTGCAGTGCAGTCACCGCCCGCCACACGTGGCTACCTAAATTTAAATAATTACATTAAAAATTCAGTTCCTCAGTTGCACTAGCCATATTTCAAATGTTCTTTCGTCGCATGTGGCCAGTGGCTACTGCTTCAGATAGCGCAGCTGTAGAACATTCCCATCATCGCAGAAAGCCATGTTGGTCAGCGCTGCTGTGGATAAATTCTGGGCCCCATTCTGATTGGCCACGAAGGCTTGGTGTCTTGAGATTTCAGTTCTAAGTCATTTCCAATTTGGGGATGAGGGTTGGAGTTTTAGATTGCGTTATATCCACCAAATGATATTTATTTCTGTCTCTTTTTGGATCTGAGAGAAGGGATGAATTGAAATATTCGAGACATTATAGTTCCTAACTTTTTCTGTGTGTTCTTCTCCTAAAGGAGGAAAACATAATGCCTGCCACAAATCTCAGAATGTCTGTGGAAAAGATTCGAGCACATCACATTGACTTTTTTTGTGTATTTGTTTGGTTTCCAGCTTGTAGCACCTTACAACACTTGAAATGTGATCTTTTCTTCTTGGACCCTGGTTGGGGGTGGCGGAGGGCTGGGTTGGGCCTCAGCTGTGGCCGTGGCCGTGAGCCGGGCCTCTGACTCTCTCCCTCTCTCCTTCCCAGCAGTGGGCGGTGAGATCCCCCTAGACATGCGGCTCGGGGGCGGGCAGCTGGTGTCGGAGGAGCTGATGAACCTGGGCGAGAGCTTCATCCAGACCAATGACCCGTCGCTGAAGCTCTTCCAGTGCGCCGTGTGCAACAAGTTCACGACGGACAACCTGGACATGCTGGGGTTGCACATGAACGTGGAGCGCAGCCTGTCGGAGGACGAGTGGAAGGCGGTCATGGGGGACTCGTACCAGTGCAAGCTCTGCCGCTACAACACCCAGCTCAAGGCCAACTTCCAGCTGCACTGCAAGACGGATAAGCACGTGCAGAAGTACCAGCTGGTGGCCCACATCAAGGAGGGCGGCAAGGCCAACGAGTGGAGGCTCAAGTGCGTGGCCATCGGCAACCCCGTGCACCTCAAGTGCAACGCCTGCGACTACTACACCAACAGCCTGGAGAAGCTGCGGCTGCACACGGTCAACTCCAGGCACGAGGCCAGCCTGAAGCTGTACAAGGTAAGGCCTGGCTCCAGGAGCGGGCTGGGTGCCTGGGAGTTGGGGGGAGGACTGGGGAGGAGATGGACAGTCCCCGCCATGGCCTGGTTGGCTGCTGCGTGGTAACCTGGCGTTGGATGGGAAATCGGCATCTGCTTCCTCAGGGGGCAGAAATGGGACAGGTTCAACTGGCAGCTGAAGGTTCTCTTTCTCAGGCGCCCCATTTCTCGGGCAAGTTTGGTTTACAGCAGGCCGATGCTGTCGCGTCATCCCACTCAGTCCTTGACTGCCTTCCTGGTTGGCTCTTTCCGTACTCACTGTGGGCTCTTGTGTGCCCTGGTGCTCCCGTGCGTCCTCTCTCTCCTTCGGGCAATCTCTTCTCCTTTTCCATCTCTTTATTCCTTGTTTCCCTATTTCTTCTGTCCTGGATGCCCCTGGGATCCTTCCCCCATGGCGATCTCTGCCGAGATCCATCCATTCAGCCAGCAGACGCGCACTGGGCACCCGCTGTGTGACAGGCGCCGTTCCGGACGCGTGCCTGTGTCAGTGCAGGGAATAGACAGAAGCAGTCCCTGCCCTCACAGAGCTTCCACTCCCCTGCGGGGAGATGGGCGAGAAGTGTAATGAATAAATTCTACAGCAGGCTGGAAGGGGGTAAATGCCATCGGGAAAAAGAGAGTCCAGTAAGGGGGCTCCTTTGTTCTTTAATTGTTTTCCCTTTGTTTCCTGTGTTCTATGTCCCCTTTCTCTCCCTTATGCTGATCTTTTTCTTCCTTTTCCTGGGCTTCTCCCATCCTCTTCTCCCTTTGTCCTCTCTCCCCCTTTTTCCTTTTTTTCCATTTCTTCTTTGCAACCCCCCCATCCCCCCCATCCTGTCCACTCCGTGGACAGTAACCGAGGAGGAGGGGCTCCAGATACTGTAAATAGTCCTTTCACTTGCATGGCAGAATTGCTCCAGACGTTTCTATTGATTTTCTCTGGACTTAAAGCCTCACCTTTTTCTCTAATCATCCCATAATGGCTTTAGTATGAACAATCAGGTACAAATCGCCATAAATCTCCGAGCCTCACTCCACACACCTTCCACTCCCTCTCTCTGTCTTTCCATTTCCCTCACTTGGATTCTCAGCCGCCTCCTCTCCTTTCACTTTGTTTCTTGTGTCTTTGGGCCACGAGTGTTTGGGTTCCGCTGCCCCTGAGCTGGTTTACTCCCCTTTCTACTCAGCATGGTTTTAAATGGAGACCCCAGATAAGGAGGACTCCCGGTCCTCCCCCACGCGGTCTCTGCCGAGATCGACGCTGTCATTGGTTTCACAGTTGCTCCTTCTCAGATGGTGGGAGGCCGCTGCAACGTGGATGAGAAGCCATTTTGGGGAAAGTAGGAGAAAGCAGGAGTGAGGTAGTGGGGAGAGAATGTTCTGGTATGGACTGCTGATGCCAGCTTTGGTGCAGTGGGGAAGGTCTGCACACCCCGCAGCCAGTCCCCTTATCCCAAATGAGCAAGAACCTCCCTGGACCGGCTTAGTTGTATGTCCCTGTTGAAAGCAAAGGCTCTTTGCCATCAGAGTAAATTGTCGGTCTGAACTGGCCACAGGATGGTGCCGACGTGGCCAAGAAAACCCAATGGAAAAACCAGCGAAAGAAAGAATTTCCAAAGGACCCGACTGAGTAAAATTTGTACAAAGGACTCAGCGTGGCCATTGAAGGTTGTGTGCAACTTTGATGAAGGTCTTTCGAAGCCGGCCTCTTCCGTCCAAGGAAAAAATTGCCCTTTAGATTATGAAATGTGCACAGTGATGATTCTCTCTCCACACTGCATCCTCCACACGGCCAGAGTCTTCAGCAGGAGTCTGTCAGTCACTTGGCTTTGCTCCTGAAGGGCCTGGAACCTGGAGGATTTGCTGAGAATAACCCTTTTTTGGTCCCCAAACTGCATCCACAGATCACACCTGGAGGGTCAGGGTGAGGTGTTTTCCAAGGTGAATGTGAGGGAAGCAGTTTATTTATGTGTTTCTGTGCTGCTAGCTCTGGCCACTTATCCTCCTGGGCCTTAATTTTCTTGTAGTTTTGTTTCGTTGAGTTTTTTTTATTTTTTATTTTTTTTAATTTTGAGTTTTTTGAGACAGGGTCTCTCTCACTCTATCACCCAGGTTAGAGCACAGTGGCGTGTCCTCGTAGCTCACAGCAACCTCAAGCTTCTGGGCTCAAGGGATCCTCCTGTCTCAGCCTCCCGAGTAGCTGGGACTACAGGCATGAGCCCATCATGCCTGGCTGATTTTTTAAATACTTTGTAAAGATTGGGCCTTGATATTACCCTGGCTGGTCTTGAACTCCTGGCCTCAAGCAATCCTCTTACCTCAGCCTGCCAAAGTGCTGAGATTACAGACATGAGCTGCCACACCCTTTTTTTTTTTTTTTTTAATGGTAGAGGACACTGCTGTTCTAAAAAGGTAGACACATCCTCCTGTGTGGTAGGACGCAGGATAGAACGTGGGAACCAGCACCCAAAGGAGAGGTGCCCAAATAATGCGTTCGGCTGGCACATCCCTGCGGTTGACCAGTCTGAGACACAGGGTGGAATTAGTATGGTCTCATTAGTCCTGGGGTAATGAATGTCCCTCTGTTTGCTGAGGCTGCCACGGGAGCTGGGACCTCTCATGCTCATTCCTGGGTGACACAGACAGGAGTATAATTCCAGTGCTGCTCCTGAGTCCCTTTGTCCACCGGTGTGACCAAGACAAGCCTGTCTTGCCATGGAGGGGGCCTCCCTCTCACAGGGTTTCGCCAGTGTACAGATTTGGGGTAGGGACTGGAGGTGGTTTGAGAGTCACTTTTGCTCTAGGCCCTGGTGTGGCCTGCAGTAAATGGAGATTGATTGCATGTTATTTTTCCTCTTGCTAATGTAATCCATTAGCCCGGCACATGCATAATCAGTTTAGAGCACAGTTAACTGAATGTAATCGAGTTCTTTACTGTCTGCTAGAGAAACCGCTCCAGATGCAGCTGACCGGGGAGGGCACTGAGCTCCTCCCACATGGCCCTCTGGACTCACCCCTCCCTGCCCCACCCCACCCCCATCCGAGGTCCCGGGCAAGGCATCCATGATTGGTCAGGGCGACTCCCCCAAGCTGCCTTCTGCAGCACCCACTGAGGTGGCCATGACATGTCCGGTTTCCCAGTGGCTGTTCCAGCCGCGGCTTTTCTTCCTCTTTTCCTTTTTCATATTGGAGGAGACAGAGCCGTGGTCTCGGGAGATGTAGGCCGTGGCATGGCTTTCAGTTTGTCATTTGACCTCACGCTGGACCAAAGTCAACTGCCCTTGCTGTCATAAGTGCTAGTGCATACATTGCTGTGTTAGGACTGGATTTTCTGAAAGCATGAGATAATTTCTAATCTGGGCACAAGAGGGTTGGGCTAATATGCAAAAGCCTCCTGATACTATCTTTGTTGCCTGGTACGGTCTAGTTTGGGTTATTGTGTGAATACTAATTTGTAAACTGGGATTAATGTGCAATGTGTTCTTCGTGTGTGCACCTCCTGGAGGTGAATGGAGTAGGCGGGCCCGAGGCTCAGAGGGAAACTCTCTGTCCTTTGGGTCCCCAGCTTACTTCTGCAGAGTGCCCACGATCAAATTCCTTGGGTTTGGTTTTTTTTTTTTTTTTTGGGTCTTAAACAGTGGCTGACTCTGGTCCAGCCCTAGTGGTCATGTGTCCATATCCATGCCAGCAGCTATGTGGGGTCACTGTGATTGGTTGACACAGCCGGAGGGCCAGAGGCTCCAGTGGAGCTTTGATGCTGGGCTCTTTGTTTCTGTCCTTAGTGGTTCACCTGGAACGGAGGCGTGTTGTGGAGAAGGCACTTGTCTCTCACCAGGGCTGAGCTCCAAGACTTTAATTCAGCATTTTTTTTGCTTTCACGTGTAAACATAACACTCCTCTCTTAGAGGACCCGAACCCTGGCCCCACTCCCTCACCCCCTGCACCCATAGAGATGTGGGGTGCACTTGCTCGTCTTAGTTAGGGGAGCAGCTGATACTGCCCCTTGCCTGCTCCCTGCTCTCCTGCAGGGCTAGCTTGGCCTAGCTCCTGAGCCCGAGGTGTGTGGGTTTGATGCTAGTGCAAGCTCTCCTGTGTTTACCCTGCCTTCCCGGCAAGTGGTGTCTCTGAAATTTGTGGTGTTTTCCAGTTGGGGGAGGAGGGGTGCAGAGAGGGCAGCTGGCAATCAGTGCACACCTGCCAACTGTCAGAATCTGGTTTTCACTTTGATGTTCTTCTTCACCTGAGAGTCACTGCAATGGAAATCCGTCAACTTTAGCAGATAGATTAAGACCCCACCAGAATCTATTACTCAAACAGTTTCCAGCTGGAGTTCCTTTGATTGGGCCAAGACTGAGGGTTTCATATTAATCTTAAATTATATGCAGTGAGGGTTGTCTACCACTGTGTTGTGTCTGGGCCACATGTGAGCTGCCGTGGGCTAGCTAGGCAGACAGGAGATGAGAAGCCAGTGTCTAAGCGAGCTCCATGTGGATGGCACCGATTTATTAAAACACACACGGCCAAATTCTCCACGTAGCGGACTCGTACTCACACCATCCTACGAGGATTATGCATTGCGGAAGGATGTAAGCAACCCTCCGTCAGGCTCTGCATTAGAATCCATCTCAGTTCTTGCCCTGATGCATAAGAAACTCGTTGGGGCTCACTGTCCCAGGAGTGCCATAAAGTCATCATATGGTGATGGACAAATTAGAAGATGTAGAAAAAGTCAGACAATGATTTGTTCTGAAATCTGCGTTCTTCGTGCTCCTCTGTGGGTATACCGGGGGAAATGGGGTCTTAGAGAGACAGCCACACACTTCACACCCACAGGTGGGTGGTGACTGGCAGCCATTGCCTTGCCCTGAAAGCAAGAAGTATAAACCCTTTGGGGAGTCTCCCCGCCCCATCCCATCCCGTCCACCCGGCGTGACTCCGTGTTTGAAGCCGTGGTGCACGTGTTGTCTGGTTTACATCGTGATT